AAAAAAAAATATGGCATTATCTCTCAATACGAAGCGTGATAATGCCATATGGCTTTACCTCGCAATTGGATGGGAGATAGAGCCATATGGCGTTATCTCGCATGGCTTTATCGCACCCCACCGAAATTTCTGATGCGTTACCGGGTGCACCATAGGCCGAAGAATAAAATGCTTAAGTTTTTTGGTGCGGCAAACAGTAACCCATGACAAACCTGCTTCACTTCACGACTCGTCACAGGAAAAGGGTTAACTGTATTCTTCAAGGTGGTAAAATCATAGTAACGTAGGGCACGACGCAAAGTCTTTAGCCGGGCAAAAAAAGTTTACTACCCCGTAGTTGCCTAATAAGTTTATTTCTATGATACGGAACCATTGAAATGAACGCTTATACTACTTTCCGCGTCAGTATTCGCTTGCAATGCTGGGTGGATCAGTTTTGTATAATCGGCCTCCGGAACAATATGTCTACTGATTTAGTTGATACTGGGTCAGATCCTATCATACTTGTAATCACAAAACAATGAATTAAACCATTAAAGGATCAATCTTGGGTATCAGTAAGTCAGGGTGGTTTATAGTAATACTGGTAAGAAATCTAAAGTTGGGCCAGAGTTTCCCCAGCAAATTCGGATCAAAACTCAATCCTGGTTGTATAATCAGTTTAGGTTAAATTAGCATTATTTTCGAGATGCTTGAGTCCGAATTATACCGAGTAAACCCTGGACCAACAATCAAGTCCGGTGCTGCGGTGATTCTCTATTGTTTTAGGCCAGAGAAGCCTACCCCGTCAATTGCCGAACTTAGTCGGTCTTAATTAATTAATTGATTTAATTAATTAATCACAACGGCTTTTGACCCTCCATTCCCGCCCAACCGTCACGAGGGGCGCAGTCCGCATGACGTACGGAACCTTTTTTTTAGTTTTTTGGTGCCGAGTAGTGGAAACAGGAGTTTGTTAAGTGCCGAGATCTAAAAGTATTCAGCTACAGAATCAAATTCATCAGCTGATTGGATATGCTAAAGATAGTATTTCAATTGTTGAGAGTGGAAATGATAGTTTTCTTTATAGTAAAAATCGAGTCCGACATATCAAACGTGCTGGAATGAGAGTTAAAATCTTGACATAAACAACGGAATGATTCGCTTAGTTCAAAATTAGTTTTGCATGGCTTCAAAAAATAGAGGTCGAAAGTGTCTTGAAACTCGAGAGGGAACATTAAAATTTACCTC